AAAAAAAAGCGAATTTGTTGACTGAGTGACTTTTTTATTTACTAAATTTAAGTCGGTTTTCGGAAGTGTTTTTTAGTCAGTTTTTGTGTTTTAACTTAAATTTTTGAAAATGTACTAAAAATTGCAACGGGTTATAAAATTCTATTACCTTTTTTGTTGAAATTTTCAAAAAATTGACGAAAAACAAGCTTGAACTCGTCGAAGAACTTTCACTTACCAGTAAGTAAAAAAAAAACAGTTTTTTATTAGTATTTTTTTCCAGAAATGTCGTGCACAAACAACGCTGTTTGCATGCTCGACTCCAAGCAAACAATTCGGAAACTAACCGTTGAGGGAATCACAGCGTTGAAATCCTGCATCCAGCAGGGCTCGCAGGATGTGACCACCAACTCAGCGAGTTTGACAAACTCGACGGTGTTTGCCACCGAATGTGGTCAGAATTTACTGGACACGCTGTATAACTGTAGCAGGAAGCCGGGATTGCAGGTAATTTCCTGCTACAAGGATGTGATCGCCAAGGACGTGGCGCCCGTTAAAAGGATGTTATTGGGGGCGATTGAAGCGCACAAAGAGGGGCATTTCAGGACGATCGAGATTCGAAATATCGCCAATGATTGTGTTGATCAAGTCATGGAGAAGTATCAAACGAGGATTGCGAAAGTTTTAAGTGATGCTTTGCATTGTAGTTGATTTTTTCTTAAATAAATTATTTATACGTACGGGGAGTTTGGAATCGGTGCGTTTCAAGGCGAAGATTCCGACGGGGAATAACCCGAATTTTTCGTCACCTGTGCTGGGCTTGCGGGCGATTAGAGTGTAGTTGCCTTCGGCGTCCCCGTTTTCGTCCATGTAGACAAGATATCTGTAAAATACGAAATTTTGACCGGAAAACTGGAAAATGACAACAGATTTGGACCCCACGAGTGATTTTCCACCACTTGGAGTCATATTCTTGTGTCAAGTGGCTTTGCCCCCCGAGTAAGGGGCATTACTTGATACTTACCTGGAAATTTATTTTTGCACCAGTTTTAAGCTTTTGAAAGAGAATTTCAACAAAATGGAGCGATTATTATAGATCATTACATATTTTTTGAATAAATTATAAAAAACATAACCTCAAACAACAGTGAACTAGATTTCAGTTGGTAGCATTTTTTGCGATGCTTTTTACTTGATTAAAAAAAAACAAGTCTTTTTGTGTTTTTTGCCTAACTTTTTCACATTTTGAACGAAAACGGCAGTGAATTACGTTATTCTTTCAATTTTTTGTTAGTGTTTATAAAAAATACACAACTTTTTAATTTGAGTGACCTTTTTATTTACTTGATTTATGTTGGTACGAATTTTCACAACAGTCAGTTGTTCGTAAAAAACGCGTCAGTTTTCGGGAGTGTTTTTTTAATCAATTTTTGTGTTTTTTGCCTAAAGTTTTTTAAAATATTGTAAAAAGTGCAACAAGTCACAAAATTCTATTGACTTTTTTGTGAAAATTTAAAAAAAATACGTGGATTCGTTTAAATTTGAGTGATTTGTCAATCCGTTTTTTTAATGTGTTTGTGTTTTTTGCTCATATTTTTTAAATTCCTAACAAAATCAGCAGTAATTACGTGTTTTGTGTTAATGTTTATAAAAAAACGCGAACTTGTTGACTTGAGTGATTTTTTTATTTACCAAATTTAAGTTGGTACGAATTTTAGCGACAGTCAATTGTTTGTAAAAAACGCGTTGGTTTTCGGGAGTGTTTTTTTAATCAATTTTTGTGGTTTTTTGCCAATTTTTTTTTTTAAATATTGTAAAAAGTGCAACAAATTACAAAATTCTATTGACTTTTTTGTGAAAAATTAAAAAAAAATACGTGGATTTGTTTAAATTTGAGTGATTTGTCAATCCGTTTTTT